GTATTTAAACATTTTCAAATACATATTAAAAACGAAAGGTACAAGGAAGCTCATTGTATTATTATTATTTGTTTTTTTAAAGAGTGAAGTACAATACATCGCAACCTGTGAATTGGTTGGCTCTGTAACATTCTTCATTTCAGACCCAGAGTTCACTTTACCCAAATATGATACGGCAGTGTTATTTGGCGGGAATATTCACGTGGACCGGCAATATACCTAAATTTCTATCTATTAGGTGACAGATACGTATGTATGCATATATTTGAACAGATATGACTGTGCTATGGAGATATACTTACTACAGAAATATAATATATCATTGTCCAGAAGAGCTTGATCCGTCGCCGATACTGCTATCAGGATACATATACCAACTCGTACATATAAGCTCATTGCGAACCTAGTCGATTGCGGTGTATTTGCTAAAGCACACTAGGTCACAGTTGTATTGGAAGCTGTATTATTGTGATATCTTATTGGGTCATCGCTTGTACACCTGAGTATTCATATACCAACCACGCCGCAGAGCCTGTCGTTAGCAACAAGCTTTATAATAGTATAAGCACCACAAGTATAAAAGTATCAGAACCATATCTCGTCAGCATGGACAGGCCATTAGACCTCAACACCACTCGCACAGACACAACCACTAATTCACAGATCTCCTTTGTGTCGCGTGTTAACCCTACCACCAAACAAACCCAATGGCAAGTGCACACCGACGACTATCAGTTTGATGAAGAGATAGCTGCGTCAGGGTACGGGGATATGGTGCATGACACGGAACGGAATCTTCGATACCAGGAAGCTATAGTGAAAGCGGTCGAGAAGATCAGGGTCAAGCGAGAGGCTGATATTGCAGAGGTATGTAAGGTGAGCCAGATGATAGACGATGGTATATGCAGGCATTAAGGCTCTGAGTAGGAGGCCCTTTGTGGGAAAAGGGTCTGCAAGGACTTATTCAAAAGCGGTCATTTTAGAATTACTAGCGTTTTATACATTTACACGTGTTGATTTGTATAGCAGTCGTATGTACGACTCAAGCGCTTCTATTGATAAAACTAGTATTAAGTACACACCATAGGCCTATACCTTGGTTCATTGTAGAGTTTTCACACAGTGAGTGGCCACTGTAACACAGCGGTTAAAAATATCTCTTCGCTCATGTCCAATGTAAAAGATCAATAAGGGAAGGCAAGCCTGTGTTTGGTTTTATATTTGTATCAGTATCTGAATAGCATTGGCCCTGCGAAGACGTGTCAATGGCCACATACGTATCGTGTATTCAAAACTATGAATTGTTTTACCGAAAATCCAACCCAGCCATTTTGCGGGGTATTTTCTCGGCCGAATACTACCTGCCCTGATACATAGGTGTGACATTTCGTCGGCTTGTTTAATTATAGCTGAATGATATATATATATATATATATATATATATATATATATATATATAATATATATATATACTACTAATATATATATATATATATATATATATTATATATATATATATATAT